ACTGACACAAGAACAAGAGAAAGTTTGAATAACTGCATATCTTTTTCTAAAACTGAATTTATAATCCAAAACGCCCCTACGACGAAAATTTCAAAATGCAGGCTGAAGTTGAACAAACATCTCAGTGTTACATAAGGCCCCAAGACCACAGTATTTTCAGTTTATTAAATTTTTAGTGAATGGAAGAGAGGTACAGAGAGAGGAAGAGGAAAAAAAAGTAAGAGACTCAATGACAGTTAAACAGATCAAGACAGAGTAAAAGAAAACAAAAAGACTTGGATAACAGTCAGACAGAACTAACAAATCAACAAAGACTAGATTATCTGCATTAATGGAATACAATAGGCAACCTGAAAAATATATGGCTTAGATTAGAAATGGATGAATAAAGGGGATTGTACTGTAAAAATAGGAAGCTCTGATAAAGTATAATAGAGCTACACACTACTTCTTAGAATCAATTTCCCATGATTTTTAAACTATGAAAAAAAAAGACCCATTAAAAGTCACTTTGTCAGGGGTCACAAGCAGATCTCTAATTTACTAGTTTATGACAATCATTAAAAGAAATCAAAGCATGTTCATTTCTAAGCTATAAATAAAATCCTATTTGGAGAATTGATCCACTAGATTTTTAAAATAGGGCCACCAGTCTATCGACTGTAATCAACTATTTCTAAATACCATTTATTCAAATGGATTGCTGGTCAGGCCACACTTCCTCTCATCCTCATTAAGATCAAAGATTGCACCATGCTGCCAATGATGATTTCACAACTTAACACATCATTACCCACAGTGACTACATACTATAGTAAAATATATTACAGAAAAAACAAAGTCTGATCTAGGTTCTATAGAACTCTTACATATGAGCAATTTAGATGTTTGCTCAAAGCTTTATATGTTTGTAAATCACTTTTAGTTCTTATGAGGGAGAAATAGCAATAAAGGAGAAAACCACAAAAGCATGAATGAGTAGGAAATTCAACGAAGTTTTTAAAAAAGCAATCTTTCCCCTACCCACCCCCTTAATGTTCTAACTCCCACTGCATTAAAGAAATTACAAACTTTACAGAAAATGGTAAGAACTGAGTGAACGAATTAGAAACTCCGTGTTACCTGCCTCAGAGAACGCCCACAGTTTATACAGTTAAGGCTGCTGCCAGCCAAGCACTCCTCTCACACCAGCATTTTTATGAACATGACCCGACTTGGCAGAAATACTCCTATATCTCCCCAAAAAGAAAAGTCCCCAAAATATCTATAAAAATTATTTCTTGAAGAGACTAACTGTGCCTCCCACAACCCAGTCAGCTGAATTTTGACCTGATTTAAAAATGGGGCAGTTATTAAAGTAAATAAAGAATTTAAAAATTAAAAAAAAAGATACTATAATACTTTGCTTTTCTGTTCTACAGCTTTGATTAAAACTTGGGTCCAAACATTTTTGACCTGTAAAGCTAAAGTTGGCATACATCCCCCCCTTCAAGGTATCATTAATATTTTAAATTAGAACAGCTAAGAAGAAAAAGATAGTTACGTTTAGTCATGTGCTTTCTTTTACTTTCATTTAGGATCCTGTTAGAAATTACAGTAATCTGTCTCATGTTCATCCTGTAACTCTCCAGTCTTTGTCAACAGCCTGGTTCACCTACTGCCACCTGAACTTCCGTACGGAGCTAAACTGATCTTTCCAAGGCACACGCTGATCACACTGTCCCCACATTCAAAAACCTTCCATAAGAAATTACAGTAATCTGTCTCATGTTCATCCTGTAACTCTCCAGTCTTTGTCAACAGCCTGGTTCACCTACTGCCACCTGAACTTCCGTACGGAGCTAAACTGATCTTTCCAAGGCACACGCTGATCACACTGTCCCCACATTCAAAAACCTCCCATAACTTACAACGCTGTCTAAATTAAGAACACATTTTTTTCAAGGTCCGCCACAACCTGACCTAACACAACTTTGTAGTCCTCTTTCTTATAATTCCCCACCAGTTAACCTAAGCCCCAGCACATATCTCAGACTTTTCTGGGTCTGTACCTTTGTTTAGACCTTTCCCTCTATTTGGATGTACCTGCTCCTGGTTTCCTGTTGAAATCCTGTCCATCACTTCAAAGTTCATCTCTACCACGAAGCATCTCTTGTTTTCCTAAACCACTTGCCTCCCTCTCTTCAATCTGATACCACTTTCTTTACAGCCCTCTTATGGCACTTCACTCAGACTTGTCTAATAGTCATGTATCCTCTCCTACTGGAATTGAAACTCTAAGGGCAGGACCTATATTGAATAAGTGTTTCTGGATAAAATACAAAACCAAATTCTTCCGAAAGGAGGGGCAGGGGAAAGGCTTTATTATTAACAGAGCAGAACAAATTCTCCAACAAAAACTTGTAAAAATATATCCTGAAATCAACACCTTTACCAGAAGAGGAGCCATGCACTCAGACCAGTAAAGAGATATGTAACTGGGAGTAGTAACTGTAAAAGTACATGTTACTTTTCGAACATAGCAAACCAATCCTTTAACTCCATCAAATGAACAATAAAGTATGACTATGTTACAACAGTGCCTCCTTTATCTGATATAACTAGGATATGAGGGGTTCACAAAAGTGAGTTTTCTGGAGAAGTGGCTTCCTACTGAAGAAACAGCTCAGACATGCCTACAGCCTGAGCCAGCTGAGATGTTCCTGGGAAACGGAATCCCCCATCCTCCCCTTCCACATACACACTTCACCCAGTCTAGCAGAAAACACACAGGCAGGGTTGGGAGGTCCTTTTGTATAGTTACTCGCATCTGATAAATAGGTAGGCAGCATAGTGGAAGGGCAAGGAGGGTATTAAAAGCCCTATAAAATGACAAAAGGAATGTCTGCATGGCAGAATCCTCATTCCAAGTTGTTGGTACTATACATTGCATCTCCCTGAGAAACCTCGGGGAGTAGAGCAGCTGTTCTTCTGCCTTGGAATGAGTTATGTCATCACCTGCTGCAAAATTCCTTCCTCTTTGCCACTGAAAATATTTCACCTTCTAATTATTTCTGTTATGGGTTGACTTGTGCAACCCCAAAATACATATGTTGAAGTCCTAACCATGAATACTTCACAACGTGAACTTGTTTGGATAGCAGGGGTGGGCAAACTTTTTGACTCGAGGGCCACAATGGGTTCTTAAACTGGACCAGAGGGCAGGAACAAAAGCATGGATGGAGTGTTTGTGTGAACTAATATAAATTCAAAGTAAACATCATTACATAAAAGGGTACGGTCTTTTTTTTCAATAGTTTTATTCATTTCAAACGGGCCGGATCCGGCCCACAGGCCATAGTTTGCCCACGGCTGATATAGTGTAATTGCAGATGTAACTAGATAAGGTCATACTGGAGTAGGGTAAACCCCTAATGAAATAAGGAAGGCTGGTGTTCCCATAAAAACAGAAAATCTGGCCCTGGATAGTTTTTGCTCAGTGGTTAGAACATCAGCCAGCGGACCAAAGGGTCCCTGGTTCGATTCCTGGTCAAGGGCACGTACCTGGGTTGCAGATTGGATCCCTAGCCCCAGTCTGGGCGCATGCAGGAGGCAACTCATCGATGTGTATCCCTCTGACATCGATGTTTCTTTCTCTCTCTCTCCCCCCCTCCTTTTCTCCCTCCATCTTCTCTCCCTCATTCCCATCATTCCCACTCTCTCTCTAAAAAAAAAAAAAAAAAATGGAAAAAATATCCTCTGGCAAGGATTAATGAGAAAAAAAATATTTTTAAATCTGGACACAGTACACAAGAGAATGCTATGTAAAGATGAAGGTAGAGATCAGGGTGATGCTTCTATAAGCCAAGAAACTCCAAAGTTGGCAGCAGACCACCAGAAACTAGGTAACAGAACAGACTCTTCTTCCTCAAAGGAAACCAACCCTGCTAGCACCTTGATCTCGGACTTTTAGCCTCCAGACTGAGACAATAAATTTCTGTTGTTTTCGATCCCCAAACAAAATTGCCATCTATGGTATTTTGATTGGGCATTCCTAGCAAACTAATTGGTGTCCACTGGTATCTTTCCAGTTGTCATAGCACCAATCTTCTGTGACAACCATACACCTCTTTAAGAAACCAGACTTCTTAAGAATGATCAGTTACATTCAATCAACAAACATATTGATGACTTCTATGTTCCAGGCACCAAGGACAAAGCAGTAAAACTGACATGGTCCCTGCCTTCATATAGGTTAGTGTAATTAGTATAATTGACCTAAACTATACAACAAAAATACACCTAAATTATACAACAAAAAAATTTGCAAATTGTGGTAATAGCAATAAATGACACACTTCCAATAGAGAATAGCAGACATATTTAACCACATCTGAGTGACTCAAGGACATTGCTATGGAGGCCTATTGTACTGTTCAGTGCCCTTTTATTATTTTGCTCCCATCTACGTGTCAGGTTGTTAGATACCATAAAATCTGCTTTTACCAGCCACCCTCTTATATTCCTGCTCACCTTCTTTAATCCACTCATTTCTAATTTGAAGCCTCTAATTTGCTATAGGCTAGAAAAATCAGGTAACTAATATTGCTAAGAAACATACATTAAATAATAAAGACAGCTACAAGTGAGAACTAAAGGTTGGGCTTTAATATGGGCTTTCTGATATACTTTAGATTCTCAGAGACGCTTTTCTGACAGAATTCTGTTATAAAGCATGAAGGTGGAACATTATTCTTTATAAACTAGGTGTTACAGAGTAATTTTACTACTTTGGTATTAAATTGCCTGGCAAACACTTCTTTTCTTTAAAAGAGAATGTAGTGTGGATACTATGTAAACAGGTATAGAAGGAAGAAATACTGCCCAAATTTGGAATTATGTAACTTATTGCCCAGCATAAGGCATATTTTATTATCTACTTGTGAATCAAATAACAGGAAGCATTACAACAGGAAGGTCCACCCAACGTTTTTTTGCAGTACTTCATAAATACCACCTACCTCTTATGCATATCCAACAATCATCTTTTTTGTTGTGTTTTTTAAGTTCTTCTTCAGTTACTTCAATTAACCTGCCTTTTAATCCTGTTAAGTCCTTTCCACTTTTGGTCAGTCTAATCCAATCCATAAGACTTCTGCCCTGTTTTAGAGGTACCTAAAAAAGGAAAGGGGAAGAATTATATGTGGCTTCTTCAAGTTAGTTGCTTTTTCTTCTCTCCTGCTGCTTGTCTTCAGGCTACTTCATTACTCTTATTCCCATTAAAAAGAATAAGAAAATGCAAATCTAACAATTTTATAAATATTCTTTATAGCTTTAGGAGATTGTCAAAATCATTTTCTTACAACTAGAATTATAGACAGAACATTTTATAAAATTCCTGGGCTATGAGGCAGGGCTTAGAAATTCTGTCACACAAATTTTCATCATAATGGTAACATGAACAGTATTAATCGTAGAGTCAGAAAACAGCTTTTGGTCCTGGCTCTGTCACTAATACGTTATAGTCACTTACCAATTTGGACCAAAATTTCTTTGCCTTAAAAATCAAGAGAGATTTGATAGAAGAAAATATAAACTGGCTAAAATTGTGGGTTTTTGGATTGTCGCTCTACAGAGAATACTGGAAATTACTAGGCAGCAATTAATTTTCTAAGAATCCAATGAAAAAAAAAGGTTATCAAATAATGGAATATAGTAACACTGTAACACTATAGTGAAGGACTGGCAAATTGGCCCATGCTTGTTTCTATAAAGCCCTTGAGCTAAGGATAATTTTCACATGGGTGTCCTTATGTGGCCCTCAAAGTCTAACGTATTTATTATCTGGCCCTTTGCAGAAAAGTTTGCCTACCGTTGCCCAGTGCATGAGGCCCGGTGCATGAAATTCATGCATGGGAGGGGTGTCCCTCAGCCCAGCCTGCACCCTCTCCAATCTGGGACCCCTCAAGGGATGTCTGACTGCCTGTTTAAGCCCAATACCAGTGGGATTGGGCCTAAATGGCAATCGGACATCCCTCTCACAATCCAGGACTGCTGGCTCCCAACCGCTCACCTGTCTGCCATTGCCCCTAACCACTTCTTCCTGCCAGCCTGATCACTCCCTAACCACTCCCC